ACAGTTTTTAAAGGCTAAAATGTTTACACAGATATGGATTCAGTGATATTTTTCAAACATAATAGGTGTATAAGAAGATTGAAACAAAAAGTAGTATTTAGGTTTTAATATGTTATATTTTGCTAAGGAGGTAAACACCATTGAATAAATTATGTTTAACTATACACATAATTTTGTTATACACGAGGTAGGTTTCGATCATTTCTTTAGCTTCAGGAAATTTTAATGCAATAAGTATTTTCTTTGTTGATCCAAGACTAAATTACTACCCAAGGTAAACCAAAAAAATGAATGCATTGATTAAGTTGCAAGTAAATTGTATTATGATTCGGTTAGGCTAGATATGAAAAATAAACCGAGTGATATAGATATTAGACACTATACATTACTGTTAAACCACAAACATGTTAACAAAACTGCGTACCACAAAAGGCAGTTTTGCGGTTAAATTTTAACGAAGTTAATAAATATCACACTTACCATTCCATTCAAAGTGTAGTTCAACATCTAGTACGGTAGTATACAAGTACCGAACGCCTATCCAAAGTAATTTAAATTATAACGCTATGCTTTCAGTACTGTAAAACTGCAATATTATATAATCTAAACCTAAGATACATAAATGCTTTTATTGAAATTTATATATACCATGTTCGAATTTTCCGTATTTTTGGAAAAGTCGAATGAGCGTACATTCAAGGTATGTTTCTGTTCCAAAATAGTTAATCGCGTCTTTGAGCAAAATATGGTTTCGACTGTCTGTTTTTGGAATTATGTTCTTAAATAGAGTATATATCGCCTGAACAAATTTTTTTTTAATCGTACAAAAAAAATCATATGAAACATTTTTGAACAGTAATATATTATATTTTACTACCGTAATTTTATCAGATAACAGATCTGGAAAATAATAACTGTTTGTGGCCCTTTTAAAGTCATTAAAATTTAATCGGTATTCTTCATCTGGAAAACAATAATTTCATAAATATAACGACGAAAAAATAACTAAAAATACTTAAATGTTGTACTATAGTGTTCTGTGTTTTATAAAAAGAGCTCAAGGAGTAAAGGGTGAAATGTTCAAAAAAATGTTAATGTTCAATACTGTTCATGTAAAACATGAACAGTATTGATTTAAATAATGAGTATATTTTGTACATTTTATGTGTGAATCAAAAATCCATAAGCGAACCCGAGGAGATTTTACACAAGATAGGAGTTGATCATATATGTTTTAGATTCTTAGACGAATGATTTGCAATAGGTATTAAACAAATAAAAGTGCAATTTTTACCGATTTATTATACTTAACTAAGTCATGCATAGTGTATAGTGTAGATATTTGCACGTAAAATTAAATATAGATCGGTTAGTTAAGGTCAGGAATAGGTTATATTCGATTAAAATAATTATTATCCGAAGTAAAGAAGTAGTAATGATTATAATATAAAAACGCCACCTTAGCTAAAACTGAATTGATTAACACCACCTTACATTAGATAATTTTACGATTAATAAAAGTAGTGATTCAAAATCATATGCTTACCATGCTTTTCCCCGTAGTAACTTATTATATATTCGAGTTGAGATAAAGGAATTTTTTTTTCATAATATTTAGTTAGTTCCTTGAAAGTAACATATTCTCTCTCTTTGCGTTGTTTTTTTGGAATTATTTTCATAAATTCATTTTTCATCAACTAAAAATGTTTATTAAAGCCGCTAAGTAGGGATTTTCAAAATTGAGAATAATGTACTAAACATTTTGACTGGTCGACAACCAGTTTTGTATAACTATTTTTAAAGTTATTGAAGTTTTGAGCAGGAGGAATGGTGAAATTTATCATTTTTTTTTCTGCACGCACTTCCCCTTCCGTCCTATCTATTAAACTTTTATAACTTTGAAAATAGTTGTTCAAAATTGGTTATCAACCATTTTAAATCGTTAATACATTTTTCTCAATTTATAAAGTTGAAATGGATGCGTTACCATTTAAGTTTAATAAGCTGTTATCAAAAAAACTAAGTTTAGAGGATGGTAAAATCAAAAAAAAAATGCGAAAAATTGAGGTCACCTAGGAGAATAACAATAGAAAAAAAATTTAATTTCTTATTAAACCCTATGAGATATCGAGTGGTTCACGTTAAAATGATTATCCTGTTTATCGGTAATCGTAAACTTGGTCCTAACAATATATTATTTTAACGACTTACAGTTAAGCATTTATCGGTTTAACCGCATCGTTCATTTTTTTTTTAATTTAAATTAAACTGATTTACCACCAGTTAAATCCGTTACCACCCCAATTATTAAAAACATTTTGAAATATTACATTACCTTCTCGCCGTATCTTGGTACGAGTCCCTTAGACCCGATCTCCTTAAATTTATCAATTTCCATTCTATATTCGTGTGTATAGCCCTCGCTGTCAACTATCGTAAAGCGTACTGTTATTAATTATACATAATTTGAGTTATTTTATTTTTTGTTAAGCCGTTAACTGCTAATTAAATATAGCATCATGCTTACGGTCATGTTCGGTTCCGTAATCCCTCGTCGTGTTTGCGAATTCCTGGCGGTCATAGTCTTCGAAGTAACAGCACATGTCACTGTAAGAAACATAGTCTCTAGTTTTCATTGTGTGAAATAGATATTCTATTTCCTAAAAAATAGTAATAAAACAATATAATAAGTGATTCATATTTTAGCTTCGACGAGGAACTGAGAAGGTATTGTTTTTGAAATTATGATTTTTTTTTCTGTCTAGACTCTAGACCCACGATAAGTTATGTTCATATTTTGAGGTGTCTGTGAAACAGCTGATGTAGCCCTGTCTTAGTCTTGCACAAGAATTACAAAGAGGGAGAGGAATGGTTCTTAAACATGCATGTAAAATATGTACATGTTCGAACTAAATATCCCTGGGTACAGGCGCACATATTAAGTGTACCCTTATTAATAGCTAATATAAATAAAAACAAACAAAATGTACCGTCTGAAATGCAATTACATCACGCACAGGTTTTGGAAGGGCACCCATGTTTATGGCTTTTTTAAACTCAGGGAATGTTATTCGAAATAATCTACCTGAAAACCACCAACAATAAATTACTAGAAATAGAATAAAAATAATTAATAAATATTAAACTCTTTTATAGTTTTACAACAAAACTGAGAACATTTTTTAAATATTTCAATAATATCCTGAAAGTTTGGGCTGATAAGCGTTTTCATTAGTATTTTCTCTATATTTTTAAACATAGAAGTGAAATACATAATTGTATAGTCTATACTAATTGGCAATATTACAAAAACAGTTGTTTCTTCATTAATTAGATTAAGTTGGGTTGATATCGGTTACAGTGGCGTATTTATGGGGGAGGAGTCCATGGGATCCGGACCCCCCCCCCCATGGTCCCATTAATATTTAATTTAAACATGTGAAATTTTGTTTTTTATGTTATTATTAATTATTAATTTGAAAAAACATTTTTTTTAATCATAATTGTTGGATATTGAGGTGTGTATGTACGTGAATCAAGACAAAATATAAGAATTAAACACAAGTTGTATAGTAATCATAAAATAGTACTGCTGATAGTAGCAAAAATGTGAAAAGATCACGTGATGACGACCATTCGCAAAATGTAAATAAAAAATTAAACCATTCAGGTATGTTAATATAATTTACAACAATAATTAAATAAAATAATAACAATTTAAAAGGCAGTGTGCAACAAAATGGGTCCAGAAATATGAGTCATTTAACGATTTTGTTGAGTTGTTACCATTTGTAGTCAAAACACTTGAAACAATTTATTCTACATGGGGTGCAACATCTTCTATAGATGCTAATATTTTATTAAAAATTGTATTGGATTCTGAGTTTCTTATTTCTTTATATGTTACAAAGGTAAATTCTAATTTTTAAACATTAACACAATAAATATATTTTAGACTTTTTTTCCTTTGGACTGCCTGTCTGTAAAAAACTACAGAAAGAACGCATTGATTTGAAAAATACTTTAAAAGAAATGAAACAGGATGCAAAAAAAGAATTTCATCTTTTATATGACAAAGTAGAAGTATGTGATATAAGCCTTATTTTCATGTAGTACAACATGGAGTATTATTAATTTTTAATATTTTAATAGACTTTAGCAAATGCTAATGGCACAAAAATATCTAAGAAACGAACAGCAAGAAAACAATCAAATAGAGCAAATCCCCAAGTTTCTTCTGTAGAAGAGTACTAAAGAGTGACAGTGTTTATGCCGTTTGTAGACAATTTTATCAGCTAACTTACTAATCGATTTTTAAACCATCAGCTTTTGAAGGTATAGCTATTGATTTATCTATGTATTATAAAAAATCGGTAATAAATATGTTTTATTAAAAATGTTTGAAGGGTTTGAATGTTTATTTACTTCAACTTTTACTGATGAAGAAAGGTTAGCATTTGAAAATTTAGTTGAGTTTTGCTATGACAATTATCTGGACCCCCCCAGGAAAAATTCCTAAGTACGGCACTGGTTTGATAATAAAAAAAACAATTAAAATAGTATCACAATACTGTTAAATCATCTTAGCTAAAACTATATAAACACCCAAGTTTATTTTACGATTATAAAAGTAGGTCCTAAAATTCATATTACCAAACACTGATTTTTTTCTGTAGGTCTTAAAATATTTGCGTGGATGTAAAGGAATTACTGATCCATAGTATTTAGCCATGTCTTTAAGGGTAACATGTTTTTTGTTGGTTCGTTTGTGTGCGAACCAAAGAATTTCTTTGAAGACAGTAATCATCGCCTAGAAATTGTTTTTTTAAAAGTTACACAACATTATTATAAAACAACTTTTACCAGTATGAAACTATAAAGCACATAGAATAAAGCTATAACGTCATAATAGTTTTGACATCACCTGTGTAGAACATATTTGTATGTAGCCTTGAGACGCAGCTCTTGCAAATTCGTCAAAATACATTATGTATTCAGGTTGAGTGTCACCTAGAAACCATCACATTATAGCAAAAGAAAATCAAGCACAGTGAGATCATTTTTTATTGGGAATGGACCATACTAGGATTGAGGAGGTCACGGGTCTTCAGAAACCCTAAACACCGAATGTGATAAAAATCCCTTTCAAATACATACAAGAAGAGTTTTTTATTGCAATAAAACCATTCCGTAGTTATTGATGGTTTAATTAAATTTTGAGATTGTAAAATAAATCGGTAGAACAAATCGTAAGCAAGTACAAAGTTGTCATTAGTCCAATCCAAGTTCATGTTACCCTTTATAAAACGTTGACCGTTGTTTTCAGACCATATAATTTTAACATTACAAATTTCATACTTGATCGATCTGTCTGAAAAACTACTATAACGATCATATTTCACCTGGTTGTAGGTAGAGGTACAATCGCACACATAGGACAATGCACGTCATGCTGCACCTAATTATAAGTTGACTTTACCATCGCGGATCGCCAATACCCTCGCCCTTGTGTCCAATATTTTTGTCCTAGTTCGTCTGTCCATTCCCTTAACATGCATTCCGTTTGGACTTCAGCACTACCATAATCGATATAGGACACACTGTCCGTGTCCTATACGACAGCTTTACCCAACTTACTAAGCATATCATACAACCGTAGTCTTACGTCAAATGTTGTGAATTCAGCAATATAGACGTTTGAGTTATAATTGGTTTTTATATACTCCTTAGTATTTTTATATGACACTTCAATCACGTCATCATTCAGAAATACTGAAGTATAAAAAACTTCTATTTTATCATACAATAGAAATCTCTGTTTTGGTTAAGTGAGATTTTTGACCGAACTTTCCCCAAAAAAAATTCAAACACATTTTTGCAACGGATGTCAACCCTGGATTTTCTTATATGTTGTTTATGTCAAAGTCTATACCCATCGCTTCCTCGAAAGACTTTATATATTCCTCGATTGTTTTGTAATCATGTTTTCATGGGCTTGCATCTAGTTTCAATTTTAGGAATTTTTTTAGGTCAGTTGACATAAAGCAATGATTCTACAGGATACGAGTGATTTATTGTCAAATCACTCATTTTTGTGTATCGAATCCCTTTGGATTGGGTTTGCAATTTCGTTTTCTATCTTGTATACACATTTTTTATAGATAGCAATACTTCAGTATAGCTCTCGTGTATCGTTTCTGGTTGCCTCCATAGTTGCGTCTATTTTACTCATATGTCTCTTCCCCTCATATGACGCTGCCAATTTTTTTTCGTAATAAATTTGTTGTATTTTCAAATTTCATAGAATTTGGGAAGACATATCCTTTTTATTATTTGTATGTCTTCTGCAATTCAGATGAGATTTCCAACCGGTCGTTATAGTATCAAAATTACAGGTAGTCCACAATCGTCGTCTATTACCACTCTTATACCTATTTTCCTCTAGATTTATGAGGCCCCTACCTCATCACTATTGAAATGCTACAAACGCGAATGGGCTATTAATTTGGAGGTGTTTCAATTTAGAACAAACTTCTACTTTTCCCTAGTTTACAATACCATCTATGACTGAGTATCGAGCTGAAAACATTCGTTGTATCAAATCTAAACCCTCAGATAAATTATACAAAAACACTAAGCATAAATGTCCACATTTCGGAGGATTGTTAAAATGTTGTACACAATCAGTATTATATTATAATAAATTGTGATGTCCCATATAATTAACTACCTCTACCGGGGGGTGACATCTAAAAGAATCGAAATAATATTTTAAATTTTGGTTCACATATTAAGACGTCCAGTAACTAGCTTGATCAAAATTCTGGAAATTTATAACACCACATTCAATTTCATTTCTTGTAAAAGGTGACATATTTTTCATGAAAACCCCTCAGAAGTTTTATATTTGTAAAGATTGTGCCATGTATAACAAATCCAGATTTGTAAGGGGTTTAGCCAGCTTATTTAATAATTAACTATCAATTGTATTATATGATTTTATTTTGGATTTTCCTTGATTTTAAAATTATATAAATGTTTATTATGATTTTTTTTCTTCGATTTTTAAATGGAAGCGGTGAATTTAATACATTTTCGTCCCACTAAAGTACGTTTCAGGTAAGATTTCCAATCTATGAGCATCTTTTGTTAAGAAATTGGTTCATATCAAGTTAGAAATATCTAGGGTCCCGACGCAAAAATACAAAATTAGAATATGACAAAATGTACCTTCGAACATCTTATCAAAGTTGGAAAAAAATGTTTCATAAGGTAATTTTTTTTTTTCAATAAAATGTTTTGGAGTGGTACAAATATTACGTGTAGAATAATAAAATAACGATTACTTTGACTAAATAAATACTGATGGCCGAATTCTTTTATAACGCTTGACAATTCATTCGGTTCTTCATCTTTATAATAGGTAAGGAAAGTTTCTTCATTAATATAGTTTCTGTCGCCTCTTATAGTGTCCCATAGAATTAATATTTCCTAAAAGTTTTTATACAATAGTATAATAAATGATTTAACAAAAATAATAGTATATTTTACTTGAGGTTCAGCCTGAATTTTAGCTTTTATTTCATTTTCAGGTGAAGCTGTACCAGATTCAGTCTGAATTTCCAGGTCAGCTATTATTTTATTTTCAGGTGAAGTTGTATCTGAAGCTACATTTGTTTGTATTTTAGTTTCTGTTTCTGGTAATCAACGAATAAAAACAATAATTACTAAATATTTTTTTTATGAGTCAAACCAACTTTTCAGGGAGTTTTACATATTATTAGATGATCTCACATTTGCCAATCCGACGCTATAACTTAAACTACTTAACTACTAACAGTTAAACCTACTTTTTTCACTCGTTATAAAGCATAATTGTGCATGGGCTAATCTGACGTCACATAAATCATTTGTACATACGAGTATCTGTTACGTTTTAGCTTCAATGCGAAGCTGAGAAGATATTGGATTTATAATGTGGGTTTTTTTATGTGCTTGTAAACATGATGAATATACTCCTATATTTTTATCGAGTATTCATCAGGCATACCCCTATACAGTTTAAATGCCAGACAATTTTTTTTTTTTTTAATTTGTGTACATAGCTTTTGACTTACCTCTTTTTATAGCAAAGAGAGTACACAAATTACAAACAAAAATTAAAATAAAAAATTCAACTGGAAATAAAACTGCATTTCTGTCTTATAATTTAATTAAATACATTATTATTAAAACAAATTAATTAAAAATGATTTTTTTCTAACCATTATCTAAATTATCCGTTATTTCTTTACCGCCATACCTGGAAAGTAAACGTTCATTTTGATGGCATTTTTTATACAATTATAATACCAAAAATAATATTTTAAAAAATACTTACGAAGCACACGTTGCTAGGCTAAGTAAAAGAAAAATCTTGATGTTCGTCATATTTTGTATCACACAGATAAAATATTCAACTGTTATAATATACTGCTTAACTAGACTGTAAGCATACTGTGTGCTACTACAGTATTCTAAGACAACATGTAGTTATTGTTATTCTACAATTTATTGACTTAGTCTTTTTAAGTATGTTTTACGGTTCGTATACGGAAAGGTGTTATTTATGAGCCTATTTTTTATATTGTCATTTTAAAGCAGAATGAGGTTTCAAATCTCTAATAAAAATTGTAAATATCAGCCAAGTCATAATGTTTGTTATTGTAAAAAACTGTATAAACATTCTATTAGAATTGAGAACTTGCAAAACATAATACAACAGGAAAATAACTTTAAAACCATATTTAAAATCATAAATAACAAAATATGGATTTTAAAATGATTTATGTTAGACAAATAAATCAGTACCTCTGTCCATATTTGTGCATGACTGTATAAATAGTCTGTTTATAAAGATTTCAATTTGGACGAAAATGTATGTCGAGTATAAAAATCGCAACACTAGCACTGTTTACTGATTCATGGTATACCTAGTTTAAAAAAAAAAATTATATCATATAAAATTATATACAGGGCTATCATTTAATCGTGAACCTCTCAATTTCTCATTGGGTTTAATTAATAATTGGATTAATTATTTCATAGATTTTTTGTAAAATGTGAACTCAATTTTCCATGTAAAAAATTTTTTTGAAGTTATTTAAGTTTCAAGTTTAGGACAGGAGGAAATGTATTGTGTGGTATTATTCTTATTTGCGCGCACTTATCACTGAACTTCCTCTCCCATCCTGACTTTTAAACTCTTATAATATAAAAAATATTTGTTGAATCTGCGTATCAACCAGTCAAGATGTTTTGTACTTTTGTACCTACTACCATTGAGTATATATTGTATAGAGAAACGATGTTGACGAATTTACGCTGCGCTTGATATTAGTTTCTGCTCCTACTGATAGAGCGCGTGCAATATTTCAGAAACTAATAAATTATTAAACTGTCAATGTATAAGCCTTTGACGGCTGGTAAGTGGCCACGGGCGTCCACGCGCGTCTACACTAGCCGCTGCGTTAGCCACTAGTAGCCGACGGACGTCGTCCGCCAATGCAGAACAAAGCATCGGCCGGCGGCGGACGCCGAACAGATATGAGACAGTGAGCAGCTGGGGTTAGCATGATGCATATGCATATGCCGCCTGCGCGTTTACCAGTGTGCGAATGTTTGTATTACAACATTGATGCCAAATCGGGTAAAATGAGACGTTGTCATATTGTGATTTCTTTCCAATTTATTAAAAATATTTTTTTTACCTAAACGCCCAATGCACTCGGCTCGACGCGGCCCAGCGTCCGCGGCTTTCTACTAGACGCAACTACGTCACTATAAGCACAATGAGTTATCGATGTGTTTTAAACGCCCTGCAACTATTATATTTTTTTTATCGCAAATTTTGAGCACATTACACGATATTTTCACCTCTTTCATTAAAATTATGGCAAATAAAAATTATGAAACACCAATAAATAAAAATAAATATTTTATAATTTAATCGACAATTTCGTGTTTAACTGATGAACGAGTACTTAATTTTGTTGGTTCGTCGATTAAAAAATGACTTTTTTATGTTAATTATAAAGTTGTAAAAATACGGCCTTTTGAACGATATATTTAGTGTTGATCTTATTTTTTTTCATTTGTATATTTTTTATAGTTTTTTTTAATGAACTGATTGTTGCCCGTTTTTTGTTTAATAACTTCTTTTGACGGTTATAAAGTTCTAGAAGTTTTTTAGTATTAATCGATTTTTTAATTCTTTTACTACAGATTTTGGTCTCTTGACTATATCAAAAAATGTTGCGTTACATTACTGTTCTGTCAAATGAACCATTTTGATTCATTAAAACGTTTTTCATACGCACCCCCCCAGCCCCATGTATTTAAGCTAAATACATTTAAGCATAAAGAACACACAATCTAAGTCCTACTTGTCTTACTCGCTGATTTCTAGCAACTTTTTATCTCTTATTCAATACCCAAAACTCAACCAAATACATTATTTCGCTCGTTTTATACAATTATTTTATCTGCGTGCGTTATTCAACCGTGCTTCACCTCCCTTCCTAAATTTTAAAATGTTATAAATCTTAAACTATTGACTAATATAATAAAATTAACTAATTACTAATTATTGACCAGTCAACATTTTCAGCAATTTATTCTTAAATTTATTAACTATTTACGTTACCTTTAAAATTTTTAAATTTGATAGAACCATTGAGTATATAAATTTATATACTCAATAATAGAATTCTTGAAGAAAATAAAAAAGGTACATTTATATGTAAACACTAATTAGAAATAAGTTAGTTATTATATTTAATTAGTTGTAAATGCTAATTATGATTATGTTATTTTTCGTTAACAGATTAACTAGTTTCTTTTTATAGTACTTCTAAAAAAACTAACTTATCCTAGTAATTATCATTGAGTATATATTGTACAACATGTCAATATATATATACTCGAAGTCTAATTGTATGTAATTACCGGAACTATTATCTTTCGGTATTGCGTTAATGACCAAACGACTTCTATCGGCAGTGGAAAAATCTTTTTAGTCAAAATGGTCCTCGCAAACGTATTGGTTGTGGATTTTCTTAGGTGTTAGATCAGCTAACCTAATGTTCGCTATTTCATAAATAAGTGGAGATTGCTTAATATTGATTAAATTAGGCGGTACATTATCTATGAATGTGCTGTGTGCACTTATACATATTTATTATTATTTATAAAAATAACTAACCCGAACGAATAATCCATTCTTTGCACAACTTTTCGTCATAAGGAAAACGGTACATACGTTTCCCTTTAGTAGTCACGCGACCAGAGAAGCAATTGATAAAAGCACATTTTGCAGGCATTTTAATTTGAATAGTATTAAAAATGCACACAAAATTTAACAAGTAAAATAATAATTATTATTATTTATAGTCGTTTAATATAATTTCTTCAAATACTTGAGAAGCGAATTTAATATATTTCTTCGCGAATTATGATATATTATACAAAATAAAGATAAGAGAATATATTATAGCTGTTACACAGATGGTCAGCGTTCAACGGCAGCGACACGCTGTGAGTAAAAAAAAACGCCTCCGTGTAACTCTATTTCAAGTGGACGTTTATTAGATGTACTACATTGGACATACATAATAAATACATGTGTGTGTGTCTGTGTAATGTATGGATGCACGCGGGTGTGTGGTGTCCGCTGTCCATCAAAGGTCGTTGTCCACCAGCAGACATCGCGGGACAGCGGACACCAGATAGTCGCCTCGTAGTAGCCGCCAGCCGGTAGCTGTATGACATACACACACACTTACATAGTTCATGAGATATCAGTGAGTCAAAATTTAATAAACTGAATTATTGTTACAATATTTATTCTTTCCAAAATTGGCAACCCATTTTGCGTACAACGACGCAAACGCCATTTATTGGCTGCTAGCTTTAGCGGCGCAGTACTGTTTTACTGCAGACCGTTTCTCTATACAATATATACTCAATGCTACTACTTACACCGCAACACTCGCATTGTTTACCGATTTGGTATTATTTGTTTTTGATCCAAGTATACTTCATAAGTTGAAAACAAGCTATATTTTTTTGTACCCAAAACATTTGGCCTTGACGACTGAATTTGCGCAATAAGATAAGATAATATAAGATGGGACAGTCCCTGTCAATTCTTAAAATTAAATAATTATAATTTTTTTAACTTACGCAGGCACGGGTTACAATACCGCCATTCCGTGCTTATTATCTTATATCTATTTATATTACTTACTATAATTAAATCTAAGGGGTACATAATTAAATACATTTTTAGGTATCTAAATTTCTAACTAAATTGACGGCTCCGCGACTACATCACGGAGTTGGTACACAACAGGTTTACGCTTTTTGTACTTGGCAAAACAGTATAAAGTAATATAGTAGAGAGAATTACAATTGTTATCGTGAGAATAGAATGGTTTGTTTGTATCGATTTAAAATTGTGTAAATGGTTAGCTTCATTTTCGATTTCTTTCAACGATTTAAAATGTTTTTCGATTTCTATGAGATATTTATCATTCAGAGG